GAGATTTAGAAAATCCATGATGGGACAAAAGGAAAAAAACACCCACTAATTTTCTTGAGGAAAAATCAGTGTGTGTGCACTTTCACGAGTCATTAATAAGATTTAGAAAACCCACAACAAGACCGACGAAAGGAGGGGGGGTCACTTGATGGTTATTTCAGTGCCTCTCGGAGGGCAAGCCTGACCTGGGGGCCGACGCGGGCCCGCGCTGCAGAGGGGGACGAGCTGCCGCCTCTGCCTGGCCTCGCAGCACCCAGCACCCGGGAAACACTTGGTGGACACCCGCTGCTCTCGTCACCCTGTGGTGGGAAGGTGTGCGGATTTAGAATCCACACGCCTGGTTTGGACTCCCCCCTGCCCCAATCACTGGTGCTCGTTGACTACGGACCTGCAGTGGCCTCACACTGGACCACAGTTTCCTCCCCTGTAAAACTGGGCTCACTCTGGCTTCCATGGCTGGCCGGGAGCTGTAGGCCTCTGTCAGCGGAGTGGCAGTGTGCAGAGGCAGCGTTTGTCGGGTGTTCACAGAGGGGGCCAGGCCTGCATGGGAGTCCGGGGCTGGCTGGCACTAGACAGGCCTGGCGCCGGCCCTCAGAACCCGAATTCTGGTGAGTAACAGAGGGGAGGGCCCTCAGCCTTCATTGGTGGGCGCTTTGCTAGATTCTTTGCAAAAATGATCTGCCACCCCCCCCCCACTTCCCCATTATACAGGTGGGGAAACCAAGGCCCAGAAAGGTGAAGCCACTCACTCCAGGCCATGAAGTTAGTAAGTGACCAAGTTAGGTTTGAAGCTAGGCCTGTCTGACTCAGAATCCTTTATTTTCTTCACCAAATTTTATACCACCTATAATCCAGTCCTTGGTGAGGACTTAGAAATTGTTAACTGTGTTTCTAACCAAATTCAGTGGTTGAGATTTTAAGATTCAGAGACACACACACACACACACACACACACACACACACACTCCTCAGACCAGCAGACCCCGAAATTACTTCTTTGGAATTGTGGAAGGGTGTTTTTAGAAGAAACCTGCTGACCACTGTGGAGAAGTATCAATTCTTTGACTGTGGCTGTCTGTCGTGGCAGGCGGTGGTGAACGAGGAGTGCATCCCTGTGGACCAGTTTGTTGAACACTTGCTCCCCAGCCTTTTAAGCCTTGCCTCAGATCCTGTGCCAAATGTGAGGGTTCTGCTGGCCAAAGCTCTGCGTCAGACACTGTTGGAAAAGGGTATGTGGACCGTTTTTCCGAACTTACACATTTTAAAGTTCACCAAGCAGCAACTAGTCTCCCTCTTTAGGAACTTGTCTGATCGCATACTTCCGACTTATTATATAAATTGATGTATTAATAGTTTTATGCAGAATAGTTTGTTATTTATAAAATGGCAGTTGAATTTTCACATTTAATGAGCTTCATGGTAAAATGCAGAACTTCACAGTCTTCTAGAAATGGGGGAAACTTTTGTAAACGTTGAGTGATGATACAGACATTATGACAGGCAGCCAACGTAAGCCTTCATTACGGTGAGGTTTGCAGCCTGTTACTATGTCCTGAATAGGACGTGACGCAGTATTGCGTCCCTTGGATGGCACGTTCGCACCTGCACCACGTGCGGAGCCGACCCCTTCCAGCTGGTCCCGGCAAGTGCCTGTCTTCCCGCCGTGCTCCCAGCCCCGCCCCACCCTGCCAGCCACCTGTTCCCCTCCCTGTCCTCCACACACTGGCAGTTCTTTGGTATTGGAGGGAAGGAAAGATGACATGCAAAGTTTTTAAACTATAATTTAAAAAATACGCATAGCTGTTCTTGGGAGTCCATCTTCGAAATTGAAGTTACTCCTTGATGAAAGCAGTCATGCTATCATTGTAAAGGCCTTACGTATGTGGTTACTCTGTGAAAAGTGATTTATTGTCCTGAGGTGTGGTTTAAAAAACCCCCCAGCACTCGAGTCTGTTTCGGAGCCCAGTTCATGGTGCGTGTGAGCCAAACTACCGTTTTCTCTCTTTAGCGTACTTGAGAAATGCCGGTAACCCTCATCTTCAAGTCGTTGAAGAGACCGTCCTGGCTCTGCAGTCAGACCGGGACCCAGATGTGTCCTTTTTCGCCACCCTGGAGCCAAAGCGGCGGAGCACCGCAGACACGCCTGTGCTGGCAGAACGGAATTAGCCGCCCTGGGATCCCGCGCACCCCGGCCACGTCGTACGTGGCCACATACTGCTCACATCCGCTTGTCAGGGTTCTGACTGTGCCACACCTTCCGAGGGAGGAAAGATTTCTGAAACTTTGAGGGCGGGCACTCAAATGACCCCTTTCCCATCCACAGCCCCAGGGACTGCACCTGGGACGGGCACCACCCTCTGCGCCCCTGCCTGCTGATTGGGAAGCCACGACAAGGTTGTAGCACCAGGTGGCTAGCTGGGCACAGGGGTCTCCATAGCATCAGATCACCTTCTCCATGACAGACTGACTATATTATTTAAAGCCCCCTTCCTCCCAAAATAAAGTAGTTTATTAGAAGCTTTTAAGTCTTTAGGAGACTTGCATATTTGGCTTCCCTCATGCTTTCCTGTAAAATACAGTTTATGGTATTACATTTTATTTTTAACTGAAATAATGTACATATGTAAATAACTCTTGACAGGAAGAAAATATATTAACGTAATATTAGCCTCCTATCAGTGAACAGAACAAATACATCATTTAAATTTATGCTCTACTTTGAGTTGCTGCAAATATAGCCCAATTTGTTTACTTTTGAAAAATGTGATAGTTAAGGAAATCTACTAAAGAATGATTTATGGCAGTCTTTCTAATATTGTACTTTTGTATAAACTGTCCTTGGAACTTTTCCTCAGGCACTTGTCCCTCCCCTTCTTGCAGTGACTGTATCCATAAAGATCTGTACTGGCCTTTGACAGAGGCAGAAAGATTTTTCATTCTTACATGGATTTATTATCCTACGTTTAAGAATGTGGGAGGGAAATTGATCATTGAGATGCACAGATATTGACTTTATAGCTAATGCTTTAGAATCTCTAACAGAGACTAGGAACCCACAGTTCTGATCAGTCCATATACTTGTCAGGGATTTGGGGGTTAAATTATGACACTCTTCAATTTGACTTAAGTACACCGAATTTAGATTTCATGCTTTTAAAATTTAGACTAAGGTGCTCTAGAACTTAAACAGGGTTTTTGTGAATAATTTGAGATTCTATAAACGTTTCATTACATTCTGTATAACATGTAGGCTCATGTTATTTTACTTCTATTTTAAATCATCTTGAAAGCAGGCATAAAGAAAGGAAGGAGTGGCCCATTTGGGGTTCAAGAGCTGGCCGCAAAGGGCGTGTTGCTATCGCTATTCTTTCCTTGGATATTTTTCTTGTCTGTCTTGTCTTTTCTTTCTCCCTTTTTTAAAAATAAAATTTCTGGAGCTATATATTGAATTTCCTGGTATACAGGATGTTGTCCCCCTCCCCCAAATTCCACTGAGCTGATTCTTTAAAAAGAAAGGAAGGAATCTATACTGTGCCAAAGAAAATAAGGTACGTGTGTGAGAATTTCAAGTTGTAACCCAGGCTAGCATTTGGGCAACTCCGGCAGAGCGTGAGCTAATAAATTGTGGAGGCTACGTATTAAGAGAAACAAAAATCAATCAGTCCATTTTGTGTTCAGTACTTGCCTAAAGTCAATAGATGGAGATATTGTTTTGCTTCAGTAACAAACAATTTTTAATTTTTTTATTGTCTAGAAATTGAGATTGTCATATTGTTAAAATCTGTTGACCTGGCAGCAAGTAGAATTATTCACCTGGAATTTTGTATTCTGTGCAGAGCTTCACTTTCCATTAAGGAAAAAAAATAACCTCAGTCTGTGCTGTGCTGTGTAGAATTTGCATGCTGAAACAATGTGCTTGTAGAGATTCTGGTAAAAAAATCCAACCTTAAAAAGTTCAGCTTATACACTAAAAATGGTCTATAACTTAATATGAATGCCTTTCCAGTGCCAAGTTCTGTTTTGTTTTTTTTTAAGACTGTAATTTCTCTGCAAAAAGTATGTTTAAGGCTCACATTTTATTCTTCTTTTGTAACAACTGAGATTTTTCTGATGTGGTTCTGCCCCCCTCCTCGCCTTCCTTTCTCTCGTCCTCCTTCCCCCATCACCACAGCTCTTTGTGTATTAATTGTTCCTAGGTGTGGGGTGCTGAGTGTTTGCGATTTGATCATCCCACGTAAGCTTCCTGTGTACTTGAACACTCTGCCTCCTCTTGGGTGAATTAATGGAAAAGCACGAGATGGGTAGTTCTCACAGATGGAGCTCCCTTGAAAGGCATCTTAACAATGGAGCCGGCTCAGCCTCGCGCCAAGTGGACGTTTCCCTCTTGCTGAGTGTTTTCATCAGCACCTTTCTCCCTCGGAGAATTCGAGAGCGTTTTCAGAACTGATGGGTTTTCAGGGGGCTCTGCAGACCCTCACGAAGGCCCGGCTCCCGCTTCCGGAGCGGCCTGAGCGCCGGGCCCAGCTCCCTGGGGCTTTTCATGGGTGCCAGAAATAGGATTGTTAAGCATGGCTACAGACTGCACCTGACAACTCCAGAGGAGGCATGCCCGGAGGATTTAGGGCGATTCACTCCAGGCCGTCGGCCCTGAATTTTGCAAAGACTGTGTTGCAAACAGCTGGGGACTGGAGGGGTCCTCAGGGCTGCCAGGTTACAGTTAGTGACCGGGAGAGCAGCTTGGAGGCTCCCGGGGTCGTCCGCGGGGCTCTGCCGGGCGCGGGGCGGGGGGCGGTGGTGACGCGGGGGGAGGGGCCGTGCGGGGGGGGGCGGGCACGGCGGGCGCCGGGGGCGCCGCGGGGGGATGCCCTGGGCTCCGACCCCGCGGCGTCCCGGCGGTGGGGGCGGAGGGCGGGCTCAGCCGGCCCGCGGCCCCTCTCCGTGCAGCCCCTGGCCCAAGGGGCGTTGGGTCGCCGGAGGCCGTGAGTCCGGCGCTCGACTTGGCCCCAGACCCCTCCCCAGAAGTCTTCGCTATGCGGGTGCTGCTGGAGGAGACCGGGGAGATGTTCCAAGTGACAAACTGCCGCAGCGACATGACGGTGCGGGAGCTCAAGGAGGAGCTGGACCTCACAGTCGGCATCCCCTTGGACCTGCAGCGGCTCCAGTACCTGGACCAAGGTGGCCCCTGCCCACCCCCTTCCCTCCCGCGTGTATGGCCTCCACCGGGGCACCGGGTCCCCTTCTGACCCTGCAGTCCCCGAAGGGACCCCTGCCCGCGTGAGGACCCCCCCAACCCCCACGTGTCAGAACAAACCCCACCCCGCGCCCTGGAAGCCCCAGATGGAAAAGCCAGCCCAGGCCATGAAAGGAACTTCCCAATCCCGACAAACCAGGTTCACATTAAACCTCAAATCTCAGGGCACACCCTGTCCACAGCAAGACCCTAATCCACAAATCCTGCCTATGTCAGGACTCTGGTCCCAAAGCAAGTTGTTTAGTCAGACCTGCCAACCCTGAGCAGATCCTGTCCATGTTAGGTCCCCAAATCTCAACAAAGGCGCTGCTGCCTCAGCAAGACCTTTCAGACCCTCAAGCTGCCCTTGTATTTATCAGAGACCCAAATCCCAAAGCCACCAGGTCCACATAAGACCAGAAGCCTGAAACAAAGCCTGTCCTCAATGGGACCCTACAATCTAGGGCAAACCTTCCCATGTCAGGACCCCAAACTCAAAGCAAACTTCCAAAAACCCATGTTGGACTCATAACCCCCCCAGTCCTCCAGCCAGCCATATCCACAAAAGGATGCCAAAGCCTGAAGCAAACTGTGCCCAAGACTGAACCCCAAATCTCCAGGGTAATTACAACTACCTCAGAACCCCAAATCCTCTGGCTACTGTGTCTACACAAAGATGCTAAACCTCAAAACAAACCATGCCCAATTCAGGACCCCCAAACCCAGAGCAAATCTACCTAGGACTAAACCCCAAATCTCTAGGGTAACCAAGACTACCCCAGAACCCCACATCCTCCGGCAGCCATGTCCATACAAGGATGCTGAAGCTCAGAACAAATTCTGTCCACTTCAAGAGCCCCAAACCAAGAACAAACTTGGCCAAGACTGAACCCCAGATCCCCAGGCTAACCATGCGACCCTCAGAACCCTGAATCCTCTAGCAACCATGTCCGCTGAAAAGGACACCTAATGCCTGAAACAAACTGCCCCCCCAGGACCCCATATCTCTATGCCAACTATGCCCATGTTTGAACCCCAAATAAATGCCCCAAGCTACCCCTGCTTGCAACAGAAACCTGAATCCCAAAGCAGATTCTACCCAGATCATGACCCTAAATCCCAGAGCACACAAACTCATTTCTGAGCCCCCAGTCTCTAACTAGCCACTTATGCATCCAAACCCCAATCCATTGGCCATCTCTAAGTGAGGATGCCAGAACCCAAAATGAACTCTTCCCCCATCTGGAAGCCCGTTCCCAAGCTCACTATGACCGCACCAGAACACCAATCCCAAGCAAAATATGCTCATAAGGTCTCCAAACCATGAGACAAATTTTGCCCATAATAGGACCCCAAAACTCATGCCAAACATACCCATATCTGAACCCTAAATCTCATGGAAACCATGTTTAAGCCAACCATACCCATGTAAGGAAGCCAGAGTTTAAAGCAAGCCTTGCCTCCATGAGGACCCCAAAACTCGAAGCAAGCTCTACTTGTATTACACCCCAAATCCCTCAGCCAACCTTATCCACACCAGAACCCCAAGCTCTAGACCAAATCTTGCCCATCTCAGGACTCCAAATCTCAGAGCAGAACCTGTCGCCACCAAAACCCCCAATTCCCAAGGGCTGACCTATCCGATTCCTTACACTCAGTGGCTACAGTACCTAGGACTACATTAGAACCCCAAATCCCAAAACAAGTCCTGCCCATTCAAGGACTCCACATCCCAGAATAGACCCTTCCCATACCAGGACCCCCAAACAGAAAGCAAACCTTGCCTTCATCAGAACCCCACATCCAGAGCAAACTCTGCCCTTGTCAGGACCCCAAATCTCAAGGCAAACCCTACCCAAATACTGGCACTAACCCAGTTTGTATCAGAACCCTGAATCTTAAGCAGTGTTCTTGTCCATGTCAGGTGCTCAAAACTAGCCCAATCGGAATCAGAGCCCAGCACCCAAAGCTCACTGTGGCTAAATCAGGACCCCAAAGGCCCCTATCCAGACAGATCCCATGTGGGTGGCACCCAGTGGAGGGCGAGGGCTCTAGAACCCCATCTCTCCATCCATCAGTCTCCATCCCTCAGCCTGAGGGACCTGGCTGTCCTTGTCCCGATCCCTATAATATTTAGGATATGAGAACAGGACCAAAGCCCCTGGGCTCCATCATCTCCCCACCCGGTTGAAATCAATGCAAAAATACTACAAGAAAATGGACGTATAGAAAACTCTGTGGGCTGCAGCACAGTGGATGTGCACAGCGATATTGCAGGGACACCGCAGTTGTACTGCAGGGCCGGGAAGCGGTGGAGACAGGCAGAGATCTGAGAGCAGCCTGTCTCCACAATCTCCGTCCCCCCAGACACTGCCCTTCCGGGGCTCAGTTTCCTAAGCTGCAACGCAGAGCCTTTCGGCTCTAGAATTCTCAGTGCTGGGTCCCCCTCTAGACAGGGATGACTTGGGCCAGAATACCTTCCTTTGCTCTCTTTGATGCAGGTTAAGCACCTTCTGTGACATCCTTATTTTGCTATAGTAGTGTTTGGAAGCTGCTCTGGGGCATTTTTGAGGCTTTATTTGGAAAGAAGTTTGTATCTCAAACCCAGTCTCTATTTAACACATTAACGATGAGGTTGAGCTGCTGAAGGATAGTAAGCATTCCAAAACAAGTAATTTGAAAATTATGTATCCTGAACTGCAAATGTCTGGCACCCCTTCTGTTAGTTTATTTTCCCTGATGAGCTGTGCTGAGCCATAAATTCAAGAGAGCTACGAGGCAGTGGAAGACACCTAGTGACTTGTACGATGTCACAATCCTCTCGCTCAGCAAGCACTTAGCAACTGGGAGAAGCTTGACCTCTCCTGCCGTTGCAACCCCTCCTGTTGACAGCAAACAAAAAAAGAAAGAAGGTACTACTACGTTAAGAAAAGTAAATGTGGGTTCCTGCCCATAAATAACCCGCTGATGCCTCTTTACCCACCTAAAGGTGGCCAGGGAGGATCACATGAGATAACGTGTGCGTGAAAACCTTGAGAGACACAAATCTAAAAGGGGTGAGCAAAATTCATGGATGAGGGGCGATCTTACACATTTGTTGTCGACTCTAATAATTTAGCTGGTGGTAATTAGTATTTGTGTAAGCTGAAGGCAGTTGCTGCCTGCCTATAAAGAGAGAATGCTCTGATTTCTCGAAGAGAGCTATTCAGCATGTGTGAATTGCACTCTCGTCTTTCTTAGGGAAACACAGCTTTACTCAATTTTTTTCAAAGTTGTTAGGAAGTCAAGTTGTCTTACTGAAGACTACTGATTATCCTCTGTGTTAGAACCACAAATAAGACCCTAATTAACAAATTTGCTAATCGCTATTCCCTGTTCACACCCACCAGCCGAAGTTTCTCGTAACCACCAAAGGGGGCCAACGGAGCCTAGAGCGACACATGCATGGCACTGGGGGAAAGGCAGGTCTGGTTGGAGTCCTGGTTTTGCTATTTCCTAGGCATAGGAGCCTCAGTTTGCTCACCAGCAAATGGAAATGACAAACCTGGCTCGTCATGAGGATTAAAGAGTGTAGGTGCTTGGGACAGGCATTTAGTAATCCTTAGTTGTGAATCCAAACAACTCATGAATTCCACTCGGAATAACGGATAACCTGACCTGGCCGAGTAGAGACTTTACACTTGCGGCATCACTTGTAGAGAAAAGAAATTATGATGTTATTCTTAAGCAAGATTATAGGTGGCTATGTAAGGGAACATGTTTATTTAAAAAGATAAACTAAAGACAACTTCGCTTAAAATGCTCTAGAGTCCTCTTCTATATTCTGTCATCCTGACAGGCTTTCCCAAAGGGTCTGAACGTATGAAGTGTGAGTAGATCCACTCACCCCATTGTTTCATACTAGTGGAGGGTTGTTCTGGGTGATGACATAAAGGAGTTCTAAGGCCCCGAGTCCAAATCATGAATGGCAACGTGACAATATTTACATTACCATAAATGCTCAACTGGGGCAATTTTGTCCCCCAGGGGCCATGTGGCAACATCTGGAGACCTTTTGGATGGTCACAACTAGGTGAGGCTGCTACTGGCATCTACTGGGTAGAGGCCAGGGATGCCGCTACCACCCCTCAGTGCCCAGGGCGGCCCCCACCACAGAGAATAATCCAGTCTAAAATGTCAATTGTGCCAAGTTTGAGAAAAAAAAACCCTGCTGTAGAGTAGCTTTTGAAAGATGCAACAAAGTTTTGCCATTGTTACATCCTTAGCCAACTGTTGACAACACTAACCAGAGATAAGTATTTTAGTTTCATGTATGACGCACGGAGGTCCATTGTGCCGAGTCTGTAATGTACAGTTACTTCGAGTAGTCCTATTTATAGAGTTTGCCTCATAAAATGACTTTACTGCCTCATGTATTTTTTTTTGCAATAGAACAAGTTATAATTACAGAATTTTAGAAATTGTTGCCTTTTGGGGGGCGGCTTGGCTTCTGTTTGAGCCGAGCCAAATTAATTTTCTAAAAAGCATTAATGACCACAAACAGACTCATATGGAGTCATCAAATGAGATTAGTGCTCAAGGTTTTCAAATGATGTTTGTGATACCCAAGGTCAGATCATCTCTTAAGATAACCAGTGTAGTAGTTTATCTTTAATACCCCCCTTTTTTTTTAAAGAAAAAATTATTCCCTGTAGGAGTTTTGATGGATGATACTACGTTGAAGTTCCATGATGTTGTTCCTGGTGGAATTATTTCATTATGTATCTGGCATTATGATGGATGGACGGAACTGGTTTTGGCGGCTGTGGAAGGGGATCCCAGTAAGGTGCTTTCATGCTTCTCTAAATGGATATTATACTTCATGAAGCAACCATAAACTGTGTCTTGTGTGTGTGTGGGGGTTCAGTCTTTCATGTGAATATTTGAGTAAAAGTTTCAGAGTAGGAAAAAACAGAACTTGGACTCATGTCATAATGATCAAATACTATATTGAGAGTTTCCACTCACTCTTGGATTTGCTATTTCATGGTATTCACGTATAACCCACCCCCACACACACACCCCAAAGGAAAAGGAACCAGGGTGGTGCATTTTCTATTCACATGTATATTTTGTAAAGTTGAAAACCTGGTTTAACAGTGGGTGAAGGGCTCCGGAGAACTGGGAAGTGCACAATCTAGAGCATGTGATAGGTTAAAAATCCTAATGGGGGTCTGCCCCTCCCCTAAGGTGGAAAGACCACACACCACTCGATACACAGCAGGTGCCTAGTGCCTACTCTTTGCCAGGCCTTGTGCTTGGCTCTCAGCTGAGCTCTGGGGTGGGCAGCGGGGAGAAGGGAGGAGGAAACCAGGAAACCAGAACATCTATACCCAACAGAGAAGATGGGGGTGGGCGGGTGGCGCAGAGGGGGGCGAGGGTATGTTCCTTCTAGAAAGTACATTTGGATGAAAGGCTATGAGCATGTGAGGAGAGGGTTTACTTCCCGCCAGGAAAGGGTGGCTGTAGGCGGCTTGCGGGGATCAGGTCCGGGAGAGGTGGGTGGTCTCTAGGGAGGCAAACCCTGCCTGTGTGGGGGAGCCTTAGAAGGAGGGGTGGGGCCTGTCCCAGCTGTCGAGCATCCCCTCCAGGTCCTTCCCTGGGGGCCTCTGCTCCCGGCCTTCCCCTGCCTCCCCTCTGCCACCGGGGCCTCGGTCTGCCTGGGTTTTCTGGCTCTTGCTCTGAACCCCGGGGATTCCTTCCTGTCTCCCACACTCTGGGGCCCTGCCTCCCCCCACTGCCGCCCCCACACCAGATGCCCCACATCTGGGACGGAGTTCCTCTCTGCCAGAGCCCGCAGCCTTCCTCTCGTGCTCAGGGCCTCACTTCACCATGAGATGATTATATTATGGGGCTATTTTTCATCCGTGAGTGGAGTTCAGAGTGTTCCAAAAGTTAACGGAGACAATGGGCCCGAAAATAGATCGGAAGGCCAGAATACATCAAGTCTCCAGAGAAGTGCATTCCCCTCTGGGGAGGCCACTTCGTGTCGTCTGGTGTCTTCCTTAATGGCCACAACCACCTTCCTCTGGACACCCAGAAAAGCTATTTTCTCTCTTCAAAACACCGACAGGAAGAATTTCCTGCCTCCCGAGCCTGCCTGATGGTAAATGCGTATTTCCTGGACATGTATAGAGCGCGGTCAACAATGTCCTCCCCTGGGTGTGTTCCAGCTTCTCAGTTAGGGTTTGCCCTTCTCTGTTCCCATCACGAGCCTTAACTGGGCCTTCGAGCAAACCTCCCCTCAGGAGGGTCCAGGTACCCACCAGTCAGGTGTACCTGCACTCTGGAAATAACTCAGACTCACTGTGTGGTCCCCCTTTATCCTGCCCAGCTCTCCTGCCTCGGTGTTGATGAAGACTCTCTCTACCAAACTGCAAATTCGCAGCATTTGGAACACAAGCAGTGGAAGGACTGGATCGCTCAGAGAGCATTCGTGGCCTTGTACATTACCTCTCACAGAGGCCACTCGGATGCTGTGCAGTACCTTCTAGAACATGGTAATTCTGAGAGACGGCTGAGTATGTTCACAAGGTGGGGTCTTCTGTGGGTAGGGAGGACAGAGTGGCTTGTCTTCCTGGGCCCTTGAGCAATGGCGTCCTGGACCCAAGTTGTGTCAACCATCAATCATGGTCCCCGTGGGCCACTGGCTCTCTGTCTGTAGGGGTCTTAGGACATGCTGAGTAAAGGCTGTTGTCCCCTCTCTTGGCCGGGTCTCAAGAAGATTCTTTCTGTCGCGGGAGATGGAATTTTTAGACACTAACTCATAGCCAGAAGAGCTTCCTGGCCTCTTACAACACTGCCGGAGATGTTCCTAAGCTCCCTGTGTTATTTCTGCCCCACCTGAAGTTGGGTTTCTGCCATGGTCTGAGAGCTCTAGCCCCAAGTCGGCATCGCCCTCTTGGTGTGTGTGTGTGTGTGTGTGTGTGTGTGTGTGTGTGCGTGCGGCAGGAGGGCCAGTATCCTTTCTCCATGACTTTGAATTATTTCCCTCAAGAGACCCTTGCCCCAAACCCTCTTTTCATCTCTCTACCCCTGCCTCTCCGCACCCTTCAAGGACAAGTTGCCCCCTCTCTCTCTGTTGATAGAAATAGAAGCCTTGGCCTGCATTGTCTCTGAATGTGAGGGCTTGCATGAGATCTGCTGGAGCACACTTTATCTTCCCTGGACGTAGGATATTTTTGGGAAAAGAGGCCCTCAGGTTGAGGTGTCGACCATTCCAGAACAATAGACAATGGCCGCAGACTGCCCAGGCCGCCGGCTTCCTCAGGAACAGGAAGAACATGTGACGGACTGTTTGGTCAGGGGTTTGAGGCCCAGAAGTGGGCCTCACCCGAGGGTCTCCCCTATCAGCTTGTCTCCCAATCCGAACCTTTCCTGCCCGTGGTCTTGACCCCGGCCTCTCTCTGCGTCTCTTTGCCTCTTTTGCCACCTCCACCAGGCAAGGTGCAAGCATCCCCAGGGCCGGGGCGGGATGACTGGCGCTCGCATGTTGGGTAGAGGTTTTCCTGACTATTCTGCTTCTTCTTCCACTGCTTTCTGCACGCCGCCTGTTGTGGGATGAAATATGGGCTGCTCACAGACCAGCAGTCCTTTAAGCTCATAAAAAGTCATTTTCACTCTGATGGAACTGTGATGTATTTGAGAGCCCCAGTTAAAACATCACAGCCAGCTTTGCAAAGTTTTCTGTCCTTTGCACACAGCCGCCGCAAAGCTGTGCTGAGGCTGAGGCTGGGCGTTATGAGAACCTATTTAAAACGTTACCTCACCGACCAGCCATAGCTCATAAAAACTGGCTGCAGAAATGTCAGCTGCTTGTAATTGAATTGCCTTGTTTTCTGTGTCATGATATTTGTTACCCAGAATTTGATTCAATTCAACAAGTCCATATTGGACACCTGTCATTAGCCCGTCCTTCTGCGGGAGGCAGTGAGGAATTCAATCAAAGTGAAATCTGTCCATGAGTCAGGCTGCCCGTCGTCTGTCATTTCCCGAGCGCCTGTCTTTTCTAGGCATCGCGCTACGTGCCGGGGATGAAAACAGCAGTGATCAAAACAAATGTGTTTTCTGCCTTCGTGGAGTTTATGAAGGGAAGTCAGCAAATTATTACAAATAATTAATTCCACGGTCAGTCGTGCGTGGCATGTTCTGGAGATGCAGAATGTCTACTGAGCATATACAGGGGGGCAGGATTCCTGGGGAGGGGGGCCAAGGAAGGCTTTCCTGAGGAAGTGTACGGAGGATAAAGAAGGATGGAGTTAGCCAGGGGTGGCGGGGGTGGGGGGCAGAAATGGGTAACAGTGCTGTTAACAAAGGGAACAGCATGTGCAAAAGGCCTGGGGCGGGATGCAGGAGCAGGGGGTATTTAAGGCTTAAAGATAGAAGCCTGGTAAAATTGGAGCATGGAGGGAGGGGAGGAAGAGCGTGGTGTGGGGAGGGTGGCAGGGTGAGAAAGAGCGGTAATGACCTAGAAAGTGACCCCAAGGGCAGTGGATGCCAGAAACGGGGTTTGAGCAGGAGCGTGCCATGCGCAGACTGGAGGCAAGGCAGAGCCGGGTGCTGGGACAGTGCAGTGACGCCTCCTCCCTTATACTCGGTGCTGGGGTCGGGGGCAGTAATTAATTCTCCCAAGCATTCTTTTTACGACCTCACCCCTCCCGAGCTTCTCTTCTTGAATGTGATCCTGGAGGTGAGGCTCCTGGCCGGGAGGGTGAGCCTCGCTCAGTCAGCTGTCTTATTTCACAGGAGCCGACAGTCTCAGCAGAACCCCCATGGGCAGGACAGCCCTGCACGTGGCCGCAGCCATGGGCCGTCTGGATTGTATAAGCCACCTGCTCAAGTACGGAGCCTCCATCGACGAAAGAGATGACAGGGGGGAGAGCCCCATGTCCATCGCCCGGCGCCTGAACCGCAGGCACAGTGAACGGAGGATGTTCCTCTTTTACTGGATGGCAAAGTCGGGGACGAAGGACCCAAAGAACTTGATCACGAACAAGGTTTTTCACAGGGCGAAGTCCAGGTTTGGCTCCAAGAAGAGCCAAGTTTGACTCCCCCTGGGAACGTTTGCACCTCGAAGCTGACTTGGGTCACTTTTCAGAGTTCAAATTCGCAGTGGCCCTCGGGGAGCAGGAAGCCAAGAAAGCATGGCAATTAATCTGAATCAGATACTCAATTATGGGTCCTGTTTGCAAATGACTTGGGGAGGGTGTCGATGGAAGTGGGTGAGTTTGTGTTCATTCCGTAATCCGCTACGGACTGAGCGGGTCTCTGATGCCAGCCGTTAATTTTAAGCTATTTGTACATTGTTTCCAGTAACGCTGCTTGGGGTGATGAGAGCCAATTACCTTCTCTCGCCTCGCGTCTGGAGACCATCTAATGCGTCAGCATAATAGAAGTAGTAGCAATGATGAGAACAGCACTGTTGCTATTGCTGAGAACAAGGGCTGGCAAATGTCGGGGGGTCGTGTGCAGGGTGGGCTGTGAATTTCAGTTTGTAAAGCTCAGGAACTGCGTGCTACGTGCTGTTGCAGCTAGTGGTGTTCCAGAAGTTTTCCTGAGCCATCTCTGAGGGGTCTGCTGCTTGAATTGGGGCTTGGAGGGTGGGGGACAAGTGAAGCAGAGAGAGCTTGGTTCTCTGGTCACATCCTCTACCAGGGTGCCTTTATTAGTCTTGGGGAAAGGTGGTAAGTTGCCATGGATTTGGGGGAGACCGTGTAAAGGATGACAACGAGCTTGTAGAGGAGAGAATCAGAACTGGAACCTTCTGTGCTCTGGTCCTCCCTATCCGCAGTGGTCCAAGCACACCTCTCCCCGGCACCGCTCCTCCCTCCAGCGTTCCCCTTCCCTGCTAGGTCCCCACGTGGCAATGCCATCATCCTTCCTGTGCTTAGTTCCAGGCTCTGTACCTCACAAGGGGCCCAGCCTGCCGTGTGCCTGAGCTGGGAATGGGAGCCAGAGGGGAAGCTGACATGCACAGCCCTGTCTGGAGAGCGCGCCATGAATCAGCTCCAGCAGAAATGCGAGCCAAGGGCGGCTAGATTTTTCCAGAGCCTTTTGATAGGATATATTCTGCCTTTTAAGTGTTGACTTGAATTTTTTTAAAAACATGGTGGCATGGTACAGAAGGAGTAGCAGATCTGAGGCACACCTATGGGACGGCCTCCTATTGCCAAACTCTACCCCGGTTCGGTGAGGAAAGTGGCAGAAGCAACTCAAGGCACCTGGAACATTCGCAGCTCGGAAGCCACAGGCTCGAGCGGCCATGGGTCTTGCTGGGTGATAGGTGTGGTCCGCACTCCCACCCCACAGTTATGTATATTTCTCTAAAGCCCTATATTCTGGCATGACTTCTGGGACCTGTGTCTGTGACAATGGCCTCCCGACCGTGGAAGTTCTGTTTTCAAAGTGATGGAAAACAGCCCTGCATCCCGGCTGCACTTCCTTCCGACACACATCCCGATAACTGGATTCGGCTTTTAAATTAATTGGCTGCATTTCCTGCTGTCATAACAAGGAAGATCCGTGTTGATGATGTGGCTTTACACTTGGTAGACGTGGCTGTACCCAGCGCAGCAATCTGTTTGACAAATAATAGTCAGAAAAAAAAAAAATAGAGCTCAGCATCAACTGTGTCAAAACTGAGATCTTGTTTTTGGCAGACATTCTCCAAAGTCAGTAGACAGATATTAAATAACCCCATCCGTTGGGTCAATTCATTTAGCTAATGAGGTGTGTTGGCGGGGCGACTCGGGCACCCTTTTAACTTAACAAGTGGCATTACTCAAAGTCATGTGTTTGCCAGAAGCTTTGCTCTGTTGTCTCTGTTGTTACCAGAGCCAACTGCCTGACACTTGTCCCCAAAACTTTGGAAGCAAACACTGTATCTTCATATGCCCCTAATTCAATTAAACACTCGGCCAGAAAAGGGGCATGTTCTAAACTCCGTGGCTGACATTTGGCTCAGTCTGTGACAGGGTCATGCGCACGCTCCTACAGGTCCTGGGGGCTCTTCATTAGACACAAATCTTACCGTACTATCTATTATATTCAAACAAACTTGCATCACGTACTGAATAAAATGTGTCCATAGCCAAAGAAGAGTTGATTTGCAATCGATCACAATCACGTTACATGTCATAGATATTTCATTAAGCATTTTTTTTTTCGGTGGAGCCAAAAGAAAAATTTTTTGAGGGGTCAATTCAAGCATTTTTGTGGGACCCCGAGATCCTTCTAGACCCAAGACCCTGGGGATGGTCTTCAGTGTGAATCACTGTGGTCCGTGATCGCCCAGGTGGGTCTCACTGCCAGTGCAGGATGGGGTGGGCTGCCCCTTGGAAGGGGGCTCTGGTTAGTCTTCTGGGTACAATTCCCAGCTCTGTTCTCCCTGGGTTAGCCTGGAAAACAGCCCTTGGGGGGTGGGGGACTGCTCATTACAGGCAGATAATGAGACCTGTGCCCCCCACATGTTCCCGCTCACCTTGCCTGCCAGGATGCTCAGCTGGGGCAAATACCCTCTCCTTGCGCTTGCCCTGAATGAGTTATAACAAGTTGTTCTTTCTTGTACACATGTTTAATTGGAAGTTGCCTCAAATCTTTTCTAGAAGGCAATGCAGTACAAATCAGAAAGAGGTCATACACACTGTGGGGTCCAGAGGGCAATGTGAACATCTTGGTCAGCCCTGGTTCGGCTGACCCAGCCTCCTAGCCATCCAGCCCCTGGGTCCCCCTGCCGCAGCCATGGTCTCAGAGGCAGCTGGACAGAGATGCAGAATTTTCCTCTGCATCCAGTCTATTGGCCTGCTCTCCAGCATCCTCCAGAACCTGGATGTGGGCACCTTGGCTGCCCCTCTGGACCTCAGGCTACCCCCCGGGTCTCTCTCTTACCACTAAATCTCCCTGCATCTTGGACCCTGGTGCTTTCCTCACCTGAGGACAATTCACCAACCAGAGCTTCCCAGAGAGCTGGAAGGAAGGGCATTCCCCCTGGTGGCAACTTGGGGGACTTTCTTCGTGGCCCTGAGACTGCTTCAAATGACACTGAGACACAGGCTGGGGGCATTAGTCTCTGTGCAGATTGCTCTGAGTCCTGATTCCAACAAGGAGAAAGTCTGTTTGGTGCTAGTATGCCTTTGACCCCTTCCCCACCCTCACCAATCTCCCCTTTAACATAGAGCCGGCTTCTGCAGGCAAGAGGATTGTGCTGGGATTGAAAAACAGTGTCTTGTTCTCGGGGTATTTGTGGGCCTGGATTCTATTCCTTTCTCCACTCCTAGTGAGTGTGTGACCTTGGGGGCAAACTGTCAAGGGCCAAGGGCCTCAGCTTCTCCGTCCGTCAGAGTCCTGTCGTCTCCATTCTAACCTGCTCATGTTTTGGAGACGAGAGGATGGATGAGGCAGAGTGCTTGGGGCCTGAAGCCTCGCCACTGTGGCCCTACTGGGCTGGCCATCCGGCAGGTGGGGTTGAGAACTTTCCTTCTCCATCGGCTGTGTGGCATGGGGCCAAGCAATTGCATCTCTCAGTGTCTTCGTCTGTAACATTTGGGTAATAAAACCTGCCCCTGTCATCACTGGAGGGATTAAATGCCTGGCACAGAGCAGACACTTGAAAAATAGTGCCCATTATTATTATTATTACTAGCACCACTTAATTTGCTTAAAATGTTTACTCACTGGGAATCAATACGCTCCCGGTTTCCAGATAGACTCATAAATTTTCAGCAAACCTTATACAATAAGAGTCTCCAACCAGAACTAATAATTCCCAAAGTGAGAGATAAATAATTTCCCTGAAACTTGCTGATTTTGGTATTAAGTACAGGGCTTCTTCAGCAACTTCCAGAAAGTCGTTCCGAATTGAAAACTGCAGGGCCAGTTGCGCAGGAGGGAAAAAAAAAAAAAAAGCTCTAAGATGAGAGGAAAATTCCAGGCGCTCTGCTCTGCCTCCGCAGGGCCAGCCTGACGATGTGAGCATCCAGCAGAGGGCACAGAAACCCATTAGCATTTAGAAAAACGCCGGTGTTTGTGTTCACTGGAAATGTCAGAGATGCTGCAGTCTGCGCCACGTTGGAAACTCAAGAGCAGGGCTCAGTGGTGGGGACTCACAGGCGGGCTTCTCTGCCTGAGCCCCCAAAATTGTCTGCAAGATGTGCGTGTGAGCACACACGTGTGCTCTGGGGGGAACTTCAGAGCTCCCATCACATTCCAGAAAGGACCTGCGGACCTCCTGCCCGGGGGTCCCCAAACCTGGGCTACATAACGGGGCCAACCCCACCCATGGTCAAATCCCACCATTGTGCCCATACAGTGTCCTACTGAGCCACCCTTCGGTTGGTGTGCAGGGTCAGTTTGCCATGGGAAGAATGATAGACACTGGTCACATCTGGCCCTGCGATGTGTGCGTGTGCGCGAGCAGGCACAGGGGAGCTCGGAGGATTCTGATCCACAGTAGGTGCGCCCATGACTCTGCCCAGCGACCCCACTTTTGTGCCTCCATCCTGCAGAGACGAAACCCCCAGAACATAATGAGCCATGTGTGCGAATGTTCATGACAGCTCTTTACAGTGGCAAGTGCCTGGAGACGCTCCAAATGCCCACCAGTGAGGCTGACGGTGGTACCTTTTGCAGCAATTGAGAAATGACTTGATTTGTGTGCATAGGGCCAAGGGATGGCCATGAGGGGTGTGATGTGTCCTGAAGTGAGAAACGGCAAGTGGCCCAGGAGATGTGTATGAGATCATTGAGTTACAATTTTGAAAAAGAGGTAAATCCAATAAATGTGCATATAAGTTTATTTGAGCAAAAATAATGATGTCAAAGATCTTCAGACTCTTAGCATTGCCTGCTTGAGGTCAGCACGGTTGCTTTATACATCTCTAAACGGTCACGACCAGTGTTTCTCCTCTTATTATGGTAAAATAATGTGAAATTTGTCATTAATGATGTTTTACATATTTGCAATGTTGTGCAGCCAACACCAGTACCTAGTTCTACAACATTCCATCACCCTACAAAGGAACACTGGACCCATTAACAGTCTACCCCTGTC